TATATATATATATATATATATTTCGCAAAATCAAAATATCACAGCAAGAAAAAAAAAGTTAAAAAACTTATCATTTATTATTTTTAATTTCGAGCAATAGTTTTTGTGAGATACAGATTAAAAACTGGTCAATCATAGATTACAGTTAAACGGCCACTTAACTATAATCTATAATTAATCTGCAGTTTTTAATTGTTATATCTCCTAAAAATTGCTCAAAATAAAAAATGGCAAAATACTTCTGTCACTTATTTTTTCAAGAATTCGCTGTGATAATTTGATGCACGAATTTCGAAACATTCTGTATTCATAATTAATAAAACAAAATTTTCAATTTCTTCTCAAGTTAGGTCTTGATATTTTTCTCCTTTCATCATTTTATTTCATTTCAACGAACACAAAAAAAATGTTCTATGTAATGTGTATTTCTCGAAACTTTTACTTCTCTAAGAGCCTGCTTTATATCCTTTTCTCGAAAGTAATCTATACGAGGGCTGGTTTCCAACTGTGATATATCTGTCAAAGCCTCTAATGAAGAGCCCTTTGTATCCACCAGACGTATGCTTTTGATAATTTTATATTGCTTCAAAAGAATCGCGGTATAAAGAGGCGTCACTCCCCCGCCGATGATGCATACTCTGATGTTAGCCTCGTTGTCTTTTTGCACATTTTTATCTTTTTCTTTCGTCAATTTTTTTACACTCTTCTCCTCAATTCTCCTCGATTCTCCTCGGACTTTTCTATAGTCAGTCGGAAGGTTTTTTGAAAATTTGCGATGTAAGAAAATAGGATGACGTCTACATCGCCGTGATAAATCAAGAAACAATCTCGATAACGCAGTCATAATTAAATGATTTTTAACGTTTTTATGATTATGGAAAAAGGAGGATTTATAAGTACATTTTTTACGATTTTGTAGAATGAATCCAAAAACAAGAATATTGTCGGAAGTGATCGTGCGACTCACGATGGATTTATGCGAGACAAACAAGTGATTTGCGATACGTGAAATGCATGTGAAGCTTGTATATACATTGAAAAAATAGATGGATACCTCTGCAACTTAATTAAAACGAGTAAAAGTGAGAGATGCGTTTTTTTAATATAAAAAAATATTTTATTCTTGTATGACAAAAATATATACTTATGAACATATATTGTACTGCATCATGTTATAAATACAAACATTTTTTTTTAACATTTTGTTATGTAAACATTCTTGCAACAATTTTCAATGTAACTATTCATTTAGGTTCGTATTGCGCACAAAAGATTACAGAATGGGAATAGGAAATAAACAGATTTCACTTATTAGAAAAATCGATTACTGGAATATATAATTTTTAGTAGATTGAAATCGGTTATTCCCTATTTCGATTTCTTATTCGTTTAATTATACGCAGCCCCTTATAATTTCTTATATAAAAATTCTACGTTTGACACGAGCAGATCGATTGTCGATGAATAACGTATATTTGAAAAAATAAAATATTGGGTATCATGTTATAAATACAAACATTTCAAAACATCGTAAACACTTTCGCAACATGTAATTTCCGATAATCCATTTTATACAAAAATTTTAGGTAATATTTTTAAGCAATTGATTCTAACAAAAAATCGATTACCATTGACGGACGCAGATTTGAAAAATTTGTTAGAAAACATCCTCGTGTGATTCAAGTAAACAGATAAACGCCACATTTATATAACATAAATATTGGTTATAATCTAATCAAACTAGAGATTTCCTTTAATTTCTAATACAATCATTGTTGTTGAGATTTCATAAATAAAAAGTTGTCAATTCATTTGTCTGTAATAAGGATTGTAAAAGTAAATATTATCCTTATTTCTGATTAAAATATTCTTCCAGAATTGCGTTACAAATATGTCATAACGATTAGAGATTTTATAACAGAGATGAACAATTTTGTCAAAAGCCTGTGAGAAAAAGACACATATGTATATACTTTTTTCTTGCATGTATATTATCTCATTCTAATTTATACCTCACTCTATAATAATAAAAGTTATAGAGTAAAACGGTAGAATGAGATTCTGTTATAGGGTCTCTAGTAACAACAATATAACTTATGCAAATTTTATTACACTCTGTCTTGTTTGTCTTTTTATGTTCTGTCTATTTGAATATATAAACACAAAAGAAAATCTTGTCACTTCAACGATGATGATCCAGGTTGAATGATAATATCAGACATGTCTGGAACCGAACAAATCTTCAATTCTTTCTCATTCGCCAAATGCAGCATAGATATAAAAGAGATCGGTACGCTCAATGCCTCGGCATTGCTTTTCGTCAGCAATTTTGGCAGTGCCTTGTAAACGTTACTGAATTGCTTACTCTCCTTCATCGTATCGGTCACGTCTACTGTTTCTCCAGTATTTGCCCCATTATTATTCGTGGACTTCAAATAGGTCCATATGGATTTCTTTAATTGTCGCATGTCGATTTTCTTCGCTTTCAAACAATACGCGATAGATATTTTATTAATCAACTTTGGTGCGGCAACTAGATTGTCGCCAGTAAGACCCTGACTACCCATTATAGCGGCGTCAAAGTTACAATCATCGTTACCATCCTCCCTCGCATCATCATAATCTTCATTGTGTTCAACATTCGGACAGTATTCCAGCGTGTCGTTTGGATTGTTATAGTCGTATCTCTCACCATCGGATACGTCAGCGACATTCTCTTTCTCACTATTTTCCGACCTTATAGTTAATCTCTTGTACATATAGAGCTTGCTCCCCTGCGCAATATCGTAATGCACATCCTCCGGTAGGGTCAAATTTTCGGCGCTCCATTCCGCTTTTGCGGTTTTAGCATGTAATTTAATGTACTGGCCCGACGCGAACTTTGCATCTATGATATCGCGTGCCTCGTCATATAGCAGTTTAAATTGTTTTCTCTTTTCTTTTTTCTTAGCTTGCATGCAAGCTACTTTTTTACCATCTTTGTCGATAGCGTAAGATGTCATGAAATTCCAAAACTTCCAATGGGACGGGCCAGCCCAATGCAGGTTCATCTTTGATTGAACAAACGAGTACTCGGATGCCCGGACGTTATGCATTTCCGTGACATTCACTGGACGATCCATCGTTTGTCGAAAACATGACTGAACATTCTCGTTGTCATCATGTTCGATATCGAAATAGTTCATGGGCTCGGGCATCGGATCGTCATCATGCTCCACGCTTGCATTCAAATCAAATTGAAATTGGTTCTCATTGTCATCAGGAGATTCGATTTCCTCTTCCGGTTCGTTCTCTACGGACCAACCGAGAAACTCAAAGTTTGAATATGATGCACAAATCTCCAAATTTGAGAAATCTTCGATCGCTGGTATGACATATTTTATATTTGAATTATTTTGTGAATCAGGTTTATTCTCCAAGACATCGACAAGCACGTCGTTATATGGATGCTGATAAAAACCGGAATTCGCGTGGTTCGGCAATGTCGCTTGGTACAACATATCGCTGGTCTGTAGATCTCCTTCGCCTATCATCGCCGACATAGGTTTTGCGATCTCAATGTTGCCTCTCAGAGCTTCCACAGTACTGAAGATCTTTTGCTTCGATTTCTTCTTTTTTTTCGGCACCTCGACATTTTTCTGTACAATTTCTTCCTCATCCTCCGAATTTTGTTCCATATTTACCGTTCCCTGTTTATCCAGTCCACCAACCATTTTGAGTATTTCCATATGTACATTGTCCACACGATATCCATAGATCTTGGTGCTCACATCCAAGGAGGTGCTAGCCACTAATAAATTCGACATATTGACATCCTGTTTCTTTATCATATACGTCATAAAATCAATCATCTCCAAACTAAATGCATTCTTGATATTGATCTTGTTCTCAGCATTCAGTTGTATGCATTTATTTATGCTCTCGGCCATTTGGGGTGCCGGAATATTCGACAAAAATCCTAGGCCTAGAGATAATCTTTTGCCTTTACTATTTCCGTTAGATGGTGATGTAAATATTTCACGTCGACGAGCGATACGTTCCGCCTCATCGTCGTTTTCTGATAAGTTATTTGCTGATGGGATTTGAACAATGGACTTTCTTCGCAACGGTGACGAAGAATTTGATGAATTTTGTTTAGATTCCAATCTCTTATATATTATAGATTTGTGAGACTCCATTTTATGAAAAAAAATTTTATAACTTTTATTTATAATATATACTGCTATAATTTATACTTGTCCTTAAATATTCTCAGCCTCCTGAAACAAACAAGCATACATCGTTTCAATTAGCACGATAAATTTTTTGTGACAAAAGAGAAGTAAATCGCTTATATTATATAATTCTAGTGCGTGTTCATTCGCAATACAGATTCTATACCACTTTTTAATCATTCTTAACGAAAATTGTAGCCACAGAAAAATATAAAACATTATAAATTATATCACAAACTGCTTGTGTAAGCTATTAAATCTAAAGGTTTTGAGAATTATATTATTCTTAAATAAAAACTTTCTTAAAGAATTTTAAGAAAATTAATGAGTTTATCTGAAATAAGTATGTAGAAAAATATTGTTGGATAAATTTATGAATCTACTTCAATGAATTTATTAAGACAAACTTGGGAAGGAGATTAGGAAGAACTGTAATTATAGTTATAAACAATTTATGATAAATAAGTTATTTTTAAGTCTGTTAAAGCTCTCCGATCAAACTGGAATCATTAAACAATTAGTTTGTATTGATTGAAAAGGTTACATTCCGTTTTTAAAGTTCTCAACAAGTCACTTTATTATTAGATTAGTGCACAAAGATTGACGAAGTAAATGTAATAGAATTCTTATAAGAATCAGTATTATTCTAAAGCTTGAAAAAAATCATTTTAGTCACAACGAGATTCTCATTTCTCAAAAATAGTTGATGGGTTACCAAATGAGTGTACTTAACAATAGATATTACTTGGCAGTATCTATACCCACCGATAAAGCTGCAAAATTCTTCGTTATTTTCTCGAGATCGGCCCTGATCAACCGCAACAGAATATAATAACGTTGCAGTTCATTGTGAATCTTCTGCAGAACTTGCAATGTACGCTCGTCGTGAGAAGGCATTGGATTTGACAGAAATATACATGAAACATTCGAACAACATCTTACGTTGAAATGTTAAATGCTCATCTCAATTCCACACCTCACCTATCGCTCACCATAACTTGCGATCTTGCGATTAGAAACTACTATCAATGAAAATTACTCCAGATAAACGAAAAAGTACGTTGTGTTTCTGAGCGATGTATATTTAAATTCACGGACGCTGTCATGGATGATGTTGGCGTTACCGGCATTACCGCGCGTTCCTAAAAGCATTAAAGTGCCTTTACGAAAGCATTAAGGTGCCATTATATAAAAGCATCAAGCCACAGACACTAATCATACCTAGCGACAGTGAACTTTCTTGTGATCTGCAATTTTTAGTTCATACGTCGATTTGTACATTTAGGAATAAGGCAGACGTATTAGAAGCTTAACAGAAAATTCAAAATTCATCAAATTTAAGAGCCTGTCCTTTCATAGCTCTACTATATATACATCACAACATGGCGGTGAATCATGTAGAACTTAAGAATACCTACATCAAAGGTACCGACGATCAGTATCGCCGCTGTGTATGATTATATTGTAGTCAAGCGTCGAGCGTCGAGCTTTTGTGAGCTTACTATTCGCTAAACACAGATCACGTGATCAAAATTGACAAATAGCAAGCTCATGATGCTCGACGCACTATTAACGCAGTTTGATGCCCTATGTAATGCCCATATCACACTAGCGATTGGAGATTACGTTT